GCAATGAATACTTCTCACTGAATATTTCTAGGTCTCTGCCTCCTGGGCACATGGTATAATAGAACTTTCTGACACCCAGTGGTTGGTTGAGGCCATGTAACTATTCTGGCCAATGAGCTAAAAGTACAAACAATGTATGCCGTGTTCTGGCTGAACACTTACTTCTCGGTGTAATATTCTCTGAGCTCTCTTTTGTCCCTTTCGTGGCAGCATGTTCTTGATAGTGGCCACCCTATCAGCCTGGGTCCCAAAATAAGGACAACATATAATGGACATGGGTTGTAACTAGAGCAAGAGCCAAATTCACTCTAACATTTTAATATGGAGCTAAATGTCCAAGTGAATTTTACTGTTGTTGGCAATGACTCCAGAGCACTTGGGTATTCTAGCAGAAAGGCAAGTTGTTGTTGAGGATGTGGGTGGATCTGAGTAGGATTAGACTTGATGGCTGCTGAGGTCTCTTTCAGGTTTAAAAGTGTTCTTCATCTTGGTAATGAAGCTCATAGAGAAAGCTGAGCTCTCCACTTAGAGTTCTTAGCTCTTACTTAGACACAGGCTTTTCTGAAACCTACCCACAGACCTCCAGTTAAGGAGGCCTGAATTTTATGGTTTTGTTATTTTAATTAGTTGGTGCCTAAAAGCTAAGCAGGATGTCCTGAGACATGAGAAGCAGAGGCATGAGCCTTCATGAGCAGCACCATGGAGGAGGAGCGGAAGGGAGAGTCGTTCTCAAGGCCAAGGCTGTTTATTCTCTCTCCTAAAGGACCACAGGGCAAGAAGAGCATTTCCCTGGAATTAAGAAGCCTACAGCTCTAGTCTGGCTTTTGGTACTGACAAATAGTGTAACCCTGGGCAAGAATCTTCCACTCAAGTTCAGCACCTCAACCATGAAATGGGGCAGTTTGATCAGATGATCCGCAGGGTCCCTTTAATAGTCTGTGTCCCCTTTTTACTAGAATATGAGGACAAGACAAGGCTTAAAGGCATGTGTTCAGAGCAGAGGAAGGTCAAAGCTGCACATGTGGGTTACATTTATAATGATTTATTTGTTTAATTTAAATAAGAAATAGTCATGCACTTAAATATTTAAACAGTACAAAAGATTGCATAATAATAAGTAAAAAATTATTCCTCCTACTCTGTCTTTCCCCATACCCTGGATTCCTTCCCAGAGGCCACTAGAGATATGCACACACTATTAAACACCTTCCCCTTTTTTAACAGCGAATGGTAGCAAAATACAGGCATTAATTTGCTCCTTGTTTAAACAAGGAGTACTTGGAATAAATTCCATTAGTACACACACATCTTTTTCATTCTCTTTAAAGGCCACAAATTATTCCATTACACAAATATAAAAAATTAATAAAACTATTCCCTTGTTAATGGATACTTGCATTTATAAAAAGGTAACTAAACTGTTGCAGCTAGGATCAATGTTTTGTACAGATGAGCCTCGTGGAGGGAAGAAGATACTTTGTTTTCTAGGGTTTCTTAGATTCTTCATAAAAGAGGTAAAAAGAAATAGCATGGTTTTGTCTGAGAGAGTAGACATTTCTCATTTAGACAACTATTTAGTCTATGTGCCTCAGACAATTAGATTTTTTTTTTGCTTTAGTGAAAACTAATGTTTAATTTTTCAAGAGAAAATTTACCACTAATCTTTAAGTGTCATGAGATGTTTCTGAGACTCTCTGTGGGAAGCTGCTTATTGTTCTGATTGCTGTCTGTCATTGGTGGACTGTTTTCAGCAAAATTGAACCAACATGTTTGACAGGAAACAAATTACAAACAGATTCTCTCAGAAATGTTAAGCAGACTTTATAAAAGAATGTATATCCTCAGGGTATCTCAGCCTGAAATATGTTGGCTCTTTTTATATAGAAAACAAGGATGTCATGATCTTCTTCCTTGGAACAACTACAACAAATGGTTTTGTGAATCCTGAAAACTTTCCAACAAACTAAGATTCAGAGGCTATCTAATTTTAAACTCTGCTGGGCCAAGAAGCCGACGTGGTGAGAAAACAGTCTATGTGGGTCATTTTTTTTTTTCTGATTAATTTGTTTCTAACATCTTGTAGCTTAAACAAACAACATACCACAGATGCTAAAATTCCAAGAGATGATGTCGGTATGAAGAAATACACAGCATAGCTTATTCCCTTTGCTTAAGAGCCTGTGGAAGGGGAGCAAAAGGCAGGATATTGCATTATCTGTTATAGACCTATAACTTGAATAGTCTCAGACCTCATCAGCTTGTATTTATGGTGGGGATCAAATTTACATAGTGACTTACATTTCGTAGGCTCCAGCCCTTTTTGCATAAGATATGTATTTCACATAACATGTCCACCCCCAATAGGATCCCTGCTGCCAGCTCTGGAAGATTTCCTTGAATTCCCAGGAATTGCCTTGCATATATTCAGATGTGTCCTTCTTTAACCTGTTATTATCATTTATGCTGCCTGAGAAGAGCTGGTTAAACTGTAGCAGAGGACATGACTGCCAGTCGCTGGATCTGCACATCCCAGAGTCACAAAATAAGCAAACTCTTCAGGAGTCCAGGAAGCCCTCATGGTGGCCTCAGAGAGTGCCGTCTGGAGAGTGCCTCATTCACACAGTACTTCCTGCACAACTCTCACTTAGCTCTGGGTTAGACTTGGCCATCTGCGCACCACACCATCTCCTCATAAACCGATTTGACAACATTTACCTGGAGCTCTGTTTTCCATAACTCAGATGACCCAAGGACCAACTGGGGCATCCAATACAGGCATATACCAAGCTGTCACCCCAGCCAATTTTGGAATCATTTTATCTACTAATCACACATGCGAAGTCTTTTCCTCCAGCCAGATGCCTTCTTGGTAACAGCTATTTGTCAAAGTAGTCTGAATTCTACTTTAGGATAATCTGAGACCACCCCCACCCCACCCCCACCACTCACACATGTCTCCAACCCTCCCCTCCAAATCTTCTCAGCCACCACGATTATATATCAGAATATGCCTTTATTACACTCTAACAATTACCTTGATCCTATAAAGCATTTTAACACATTTCTGCAATAAATTAAGGAACTTTTCTAAATGTACGAAATTAATCTATACAACCAAAATAATTGTCTTCTAGAATTTCCAGGTTTTTAAAAGATTCATGGGTTAATTATTCTCCCAATAGTTGTTTCCCAGCACACTAATTCCTTTATAGGGTTTATTCGTGGTTTTACAATAGGCATATACTCCACAGATTCTTTTTATTCTAAGCTTTCTCAGTGATCAACTCTTTGGATGCATTTTCCTTGGGCGTGTGGTTCCACAGTGGAGGAACGCTGCTGTGGAATTGTCAGTCATTAACTAGAAAACATTCTGCCTTCAGATGCATGTTTACAGTTTCACATATGTTGGCAAAATACTTTGATGGCAGTTTTATTTTGTTTTTCCTTCTTTGCATCATTCTTCTAGCCTGGCCAGAAGGTTTCTTCTAACTTGTGACTGTAATTAGCCCAAAGAACCTAGAAGTTGAGTTGTTTAAATTACCTGATTTGTTCTCCTCAGTTCAATGAAAACATTTTTTCTGTAACTGAAGCCTTAAGGCCTTTTCCATGCCTCATATCTTTTAAATGAAGTTGGGCCAACACTGACTTCAGCATTACATTCCTGAAATTCAGGAGGTGAGAAACATGGGATTTTATATAGACTGTACATGAAAAATAGACTCTGTCTCCTCAAATTCTCCAAAGCACCTCTTAACAGACTCCTTCTGTTTCAGGAATGCCAGCACATGGGTCATGGGTCAGAAATACACTCCACCAGAGATGATAAATCTGAGTTCTGCCAGAGCATGCCAAACATTTTCTCTGGCAAGCTCTTCAAGATCTCATGACCTGCCCAGACCATTTTTTTTAATGTATACTTTTATTGAAGTATAGTCAGTTTACAATGTTGTGTCAATTTTTGGTGTACAGCATAATACTTCAGTCATACAAGAACATGCATATATTCTTTTTCATATTCTTTTTCACCGTAGGGTACTACAAGATCTTGAATATAGTTCCCTGTACTATGCAGTATAAACTTGTTGTTTTTCTCTTTTATGTATGTTAGTTAGTATCTGCAAATCTAGAACTCCCAGTTTATCCCTTCCCATTCCCTTCTCCTGCTGGTAACCATAAGTTTGTTTTCTATGTCTGTGAGTCTCTTTCTGTTTTGTGAATAAGTTTGTTTGCCTTTTTTGTTGTTGTTGTTGTTAGATTCAACATATAAGTGATATCATATGGTATTTTTCTTTCTCTTTCTGGCTTACTTCACTTAGAATGTCACCAGGTCATTTTCTGCATCAAGTAGTAGGGAAATATTTATTCAGGTGGATGTGACAGCAATTATTAAACCCCATTAGTATAGAAAGAGTATATGGTTGGCAGCCTCTTGGGTAGGCATTACCCACATTTGTGACCTTTCATTTTATTTTTTCCTGTCAAGCCTGGGTAATTCTTATTGAAGCCATCCTGAAGAAAAATTATAAAACCTCTGAAGCTTCTCTCTCTCTCTCTTTTTCTACCTTTGGTACCTCCTTTTAATCTATTAAAATTGAATAGAAGCCAAGCATGAAATACAGCTTACGGAAATCTATCATTTAAAAAAGGAAGAAAGAAAAAAAGAAAAAGAGAGATAGAAAAAGAAAAGTTACACTCCAACTGGTAAACAGGTCTCTAAAATGCAAATAATATACTGAAGAGGAATTAATATTAAACTCAAGGGAAATGTTTAAATTTAGTCACAAACAAAGAGATTAGTTTTAGCAAGCAAAGATCTCAAAGTAGGGGGGGTGTCACTATTTCCACACAGGGAAAATAAGCAATCCAGTTACCCTCCATGGATCAGAGTTCCTTCAGAAACAGGATAAATCTAGGCCTTTGATGAATTCTTTCCAGAGAGATCGAAGTCTGTCCAGAAAGAGGCTAATGAAACTCTTAAAGCCAGTTAACTAATGCTTCTGTTTTTGGTTTCCAGGGGGGCTTTGTTTTGCAGTACAGACACTGCTGGAGTGGGGGCTCTGTCAGGTCAATACTGCATCGCAGCTTGGTCCGTGGAAAAGGCCACACCTGGGATACAAAAGAAGCTTCTAGGCTTACCTGCTTTATGGTGGGTCTTCCCCTCTGCTCTCATCAATCTTCCTAGGTGAAACACCGCCCACAGGCTCCCTCCACGATGACTCAGAGGCTGGAGTTCGTTAGAACTTGAGGCCCACGTGAACCAGACGCATGGCCGTGCTGCCTGGGTGCTGCTGTAACACTTGACAGACATGTAAGGGGACGGGGCGTGGTGGGGGACGCTGCCCCCAGTGATGGAGAAGTCAACTCCAGTCTCCCTCCTCCGCGTCCGGAGGGCAGGTGGCAGGTGGCACGCAGTCCGCTGTGGAGCAGCAGAAGCAGTAACAGCAAAGGCTGCACTGATTAAAAGATACAAATGCCGTATCAAGTTCTCTGTATCAGTATCACAATGTTTTAAAACTGATCCTTCGCTAGAAAAAAACAAGCCAGTATAGGTTAAATTGGACAGAATGTGGGCACCTGCCAATTCTGAATAGCCACTCCATGAAAACAGGTTAATCCATGATGTTAGAAAGGGGAGGAACATTTACTGGTACAGTGCTCTGCAGTCTCTCAGTTCTGATCGCAAAAGCAGGCCTTACAACACTGATTTCATACGATATGCGTCATCTGCCAAAGTTTACGTCTGTCCTGACGGCGACAGCTGCGCTGCGACTAGTCTTCCCCATAGATGTCGTTTTTCTTGCGCTTCATTTCCTCAAAGTCAAACTCGGACCCTGTCATCCTCTTGTAGATGTCCTTGATGTCATCACACGTTGTCTCGAAGTGAGTGGTCGCATCGTACGTGCGGGATATAAAGATCTGACTTTCTGTCCCTAGATCTTTTGGTACAAAGAGGTCACTGATGCTAACGAATTTCTGCTCGATCGGCTCCAAGAGCCCCAGAGCTGGTCTGATTTCCTTCTTGGGCTCCTTGGTCTGCACGGATGTGCTGACGATGGCGATGTACTTGCCCTGCGTGGCCACGTTGTGTGCGGAGGAGATCACGCAGAGGTAGATGTCCGACTTGCGGTTGACCTGGTTCTGCGGGATAATGATCTGGCAGGAGTTGGCATCGCTAGTGTTCTTGATGGGGTGGCTGGCGATGCAGGTCACTCTGATCACCTGGCCCACTTTCTCTACTCGGTCTTCCATGAAGCTGGGGTCACAGATGAGCTGCTTACAGCGAGCGAGCTCTCCTTCAGATTTTACACCAACCACTTTTCCATTCTGCACAGTGATTTCTTCGATCGGTTTATTCAGCATGTAGGTGCCCCCATAAATAGCACTCAGCCTTGCAAATCCTTGTGGCAGTTCTCCTAGGCCATAGAGGGGATGAAGGTAGGGGCTTTTGCCATATCTCGCCAGAGACTCACTATACAGTTTAATCCTGGTAATGGTTTCAACACATGGCTGATCTAAATAGTCATCAGTCCTGTAGAGCGCCAGCGCTTGCCCGGTGAAGTCCACGACATCCTGGCCCAGGTTGAACTTCTTGTACACCTCTCGCATCGCTGTCTTTCCCAGGGTCGATGCCCTCCAAAGTTCTGGGGTCTTTCTCATTGAAGTTGGCAACAAACACCAAGAATTTTCTGAAGCGACGTTTTTCAAACAGCCCCATTAAACTAGATGCCAGGGCTTCTGCTTCAGTGGAAGGAACCTTGTAGATTTTTCCTCCCTTATAGACAAAACTCCCTTCAGTCACTTTGAAATCCAGATAGCGAGTGACCTGTGTAAAAAGCGGCCTCTTAACCAGCTGGCCATTAGCCATAAGGAACTTGGGAATCAAGTCAACATTCCTGTCTCTTCCTCTCCCCATTGATGCTGGTGGTGCTCCAGGTATTTTAAATCTTTTGTATAAATCTTCCAGCAGCGTTATAGATGCACTTTCTTCTCCGTAATACAGGTTTCTATCCATGTGAAGAACTTTCTTTCCATTCACAGACGTTATCCCCGACAGGATACACTCCGTCAGGCTGGTGCCTAGCACAATCACGTCATACTCCTCATTCATGGCAGGGCCGGGCGCGGACGGTAACTAATGCTTCTTTATCCTACATGTTAAGGATTCTGAGTCACCTCTAAGAATTTAATATCCTCTCTTCATCCTCCGTGTCCCCTCTTCCTACTATTTTATTGGTCTTATTTATTTACACATTAAACAAATATGTGTTTTCTCCCCTAATCCAAATTCTCACTCTTCCCCAATCTCTAAAAGTATTTCCAAGTGCCATTTGCATAAGATGACCACAGAATTCATTGTCCAAACTAGAACATTTTAGCCAGGACAAATGGTAAACCACGCAGGATCCCAGGGTATTAGATATAAACCATGACAATTCTGTGAAAACAGGAACTTACGCTCACCCTCCTTACATAGCAGTACTTAATAAACAAACTACTCTACATTTTTATCCTGGAGCTTAGCTTTTCTTTCCATCATTTCCCCTATCACTCTCTCAAAAGGGTGGAGAGGGGAGTGTGTCAACATCCCTCTCACTCCCCAGTATGCTTGCCAACTAAAACCTTACCTCTTTGAAACAAATTTTTTATGGCTTGCTCCCCCTCCACTGCCAATTAATTTTTCTAGCAATCTTTCTGCCATTTGCTAAGCTTTCTTATAGTTAGTTCAGTTTTTCTTTTCTCTTCATTTTTTAGCAGTTCAGTGTCTAAGTGGAAAACCCGTTCTACGTCATAATCTCTCTGTTCCTTGTTTTCCTCAAAGCTCCTGTGGGAAGGTAAGGAAAAGAATGCTCCTTAAGCAACCATTTTAGCCTACTCTCTCTTTATAGCAAGTTATGATTCCAAAGACCTTTTACATCTTGAATGGCTTCACAACCTTTTCATCCATGCTAGTAGCACTTTAACCTGTGACATTCCCTTAAAAAGATTGTAAGTTTTCTATGAATCTAATTGGAGTACACCACGTTTAGCAAAGTTCACACC